ATAATTCATTACTTTTAATTTCTGGTTAAATCTCAAAGTACTAACTTATTTCTATACCACTCATTATCGATGAGATTTGCATATTACATCACACTGAGTTATTTTATGCTTTTTGCCTGCTACAATAGTCTGTGTAACGAACTGGCAAAAATTGAACGAAATCACACATTTATCTATGTAAACTGTATAGAAGACTCTAGCAATAATTAGTGGAACTAACTGCAATGACGATGGTCTTTTGTTTTACAGTTTTTGTGTGAATCATAAAATATTAGGGACCCTGTAAATCACAGGTTATGGATAAAATTAGCTTGGCGTATAAATTGTTTAAAAACAATGGGATCGCTAATTCTAGATTTGATAAACATTAATTATTCTAATAAATATTTTGATTGAGAAAAAATAACTGAGACGTGAAAAGAAATTTTTAATAAAGAGCACACTTATGCGACATTCTACTATTTTATCTAAATGTAGTTTTATGCATTCGTCACTGTACTCCAGGTAGCTCATGGGTTCGATCCCTGCGATGGGCTGAGCTCAGATAGCCTAATAAGCAGCTTTGCACTTAAAAACGAACGAACATTCTACCAACGCTACTGGCAAATTGTACCACAAAAAATCAATTTCAACAGACCAATCCTCTATAATTTAAGTTTATGTACACCTATATACATGTAATTTTGATCTCATGTAACGTTGTAACAATTATATATATAGCAGCTATGAGAATAGTTAAGTCAGAAAGAGGCGCCAACAACCGTAAAAACATGATTACAGCCAAACAGTAGTTTTAACTAAACACTGTCTGAATCTACAAAAATAAATATTGCTTCGTGTTCAGTTTTCGCCTAAATAAATGTGATTAAAAACACAAATTTTTTATCTCCAATGCAGTAACGTCTTGAAAATTATTTTATATAAATAGAATTATCCTAGCCTAACTAATAGAATTAAACAATATATATATATTTATAAAGTACAAAAAAAACAACACGATGACCACTAGAAGGCGTAACAGTTCAAACGATTAAATTTGAAAAAGCTTATTTGTTTGTAATTAAACACAAAGCTACACAATGAGCTATCTGTGCTTTGCCCACCACGGGTATCAAATGTGGAGAACATATCACACCATGAGGCCAAAAAATGACTGGCGTGCTCTGTTTTAACCTAAATTAAATACATAAAATTCAAAATAGAAACTTTGACTTACATTACTAAAGTAAATAGCGATTCGAAAACTTTTAAAAGTTATCTTCTATAAATAGATTTGCCCAAGGTTAGCTAATAGAATATATATATATATATATATTAGTATAAAATTAGTATAAAAGGCTTAGCAGTTTACAATATTCGATTTGGAAAAGTCAAAATGTAGAGCACATATCATACCATGAAGCGAAAATAGATATTCTGAAATTTCAATTTCTGTCTCCTACTGGAAGTGCCAGTAACTAAATTTCCACACTTTTATCTAAAGAACATGTCTTCCATGACTTAAAGTTGGTTGAAACTACGCATATGATATAAAAGAGCTATAGTAACAGACTGAAAAACTCGGTTATGACGATAGAGGATCTATTGATCAAAAAGCAAAGTAAATAAAAGCCAGACTCTAATATAATACTTAATACTTCTTAATGACTAAGCTTATATTTTCAGAAATTAGGGTAAAATGTAGCGAGAAACCCCAATAGTAACAATATACTAATTCAAAAAATAAGGACAACACAATCTAACAAGTTTTAAAGATGTGTTTCATATATTTGGGGCTTATTTTAAATATATATTTTGCATGCTGAATGTATGTATCTATATGGGTTCAAGAATATAAAATTAAAAGATAAAATAAAACAATTCAAGTAACAGAACATAAACCGGAACTTTGCTATTGTAGCACTTAACTTGATTTGAGTTTGCTGAAGTGTTACACTCGTTGTCTTTGCTAAAATAATTATAAAAGGCATCTTATTGATTATAAGTTTCTGGGTTTGTTAATAATAAATCAAAGAGGAGACTAGAAACGATGATAAATATTTGGCATCTTCAGCAAACAGTAATGAAATTTGGCACAATAAGTGAAAAAATTATCCAGTTATCTCATTTATCTTAACTGTTCCATACACGAAGTTACACTGTTTTCATTCAATTTTCTTTGTGTGGTATGCTATCATTTCTACTGATTTCGAAGCTGATGTCCAAACCAATTACGATTGACATCGCTATTAAAAACTAAAGTTTTATTACAACCTTGAAAATTTCGGAATTGTACCGCCATCAAAAAAATCTTACTATACTCTCAAAACTACAAAATAATACTCAAACACGGAAACCATTTATTGTAAACTATAAATTGTATTGAGACGTATTGAAATGATCATAAAAGTTCACGGGCAGTGATGTAAAACACGACTTAACATATTATCTATCACGAACTATAAAGTTGTACGAGAATGTAATGACATATAGCAAACGTCCCATGAATGCTAAACAGAATGAAAACCGACCTTACTGCAGTAAAAACAAACATAGCGCTTTCGCTACATGTGGCCTAGTGGTTAGCGTGCCGGAGTTCGAGTAGAAGCGTCCAAGGTCGTGACGTGAAGCTGCTGAACACGCACTTTCAGCTGCGGACGCGTTATAAAAGTGATACTCAAGTCCGTTATTCGGTTCAAAGAGCAGGACAAGGCTTTTCTGGCAACACATGCTATTGGTTCCCTCTAGTTGACAATTAGAGATGTCTATAACTGAACGTATATGCTACCGTTCAGGTTGAAAATACGAGATATTTACAAAACAAACAACTGATAATTCGTCTTTAAAAAAAAATACATATATATAACAAATCTAAACACTTTATCCAAAGTATAAAATAAAATAAAATTTCAATAATTTAAGTACTCAGCATCTAGAGTTATTCGTCACTAATTTCTTTCCTTACATTTATCAAAACACTTAACAAACTACCTAACACGTCCATAGGCAAGAAAACTACACAGTTGTTTTATTGCAAGAAAAACGCATCTTTCAACCACAAGAAGATTTTACTTGCGTTGACGAAGGAAGCAGATTTATTACTAGTTTATTCCTGCAACCAATTTAGTTTTTTTTTCTCTGCCTGTAGAGTTGTGGAAACTTGGTCGAAATATAGAAAAAACAAATATTACAATAAATAGTACCTGATGTTTCTTTGTTTTAGAATTTTCACGAAAAATTACACCAGCGCTTTCTGCACATAACAGTCCCTAATTATGAACTAATACACTAGAGGGAGGGTAGCTAGTCAAAAGCTTACAACGCCAACTCTTGAGCATGATATGACTGCCGCTTTTATAACCCACTCACGACCCCAAAGAGCGGAGCGGATTTTTACGGAAATGAGACGTGAACTATAAACATTTGGATTCATAGTCCAGATTCGCTAATTACTAAACCATGACCAGCTCAATATCGTAGGGAAATGACATCTTTTCACGAGTCCTATAAGCACATGTTTGACCAAAAGCTCAAATGATAAGTGTTGACTAGTTGTCTTCCCTCAAGTCTATTCAATATCGTAGGGAAATGACATCTTTTCACGAGTCCTATAAGCACATGTTTGACCAAAAGTTCAAATGATAAGTGTTGACTAGTTGTCTTCCCTCAAGTCTATCAGTTCAAAATTATGAACGTCTTTGTGTAGCTTTGAGCGTAATTCTGAAAGAAAACAAGAATAAACTTTTCTCTGCTACTAGCATTAGTTAAACCCCTAGAAGTAACTATATTTATATTTAAACATTTGCATCACAAAACGTAAAATAACTGTTACAATAAGACATGTAGAGTATAGACTACCCTATGTCAATGTCCTTTAAATAAGTAAAGGAACGCACATTATCATGCGATGTATATCAAGTGAAAAATATTGTAGAGGTATTTTTGATGGAAATATTAGTTTATGACCAAAACAGGCTGTGAAAACGGAAAGTTCAATCAAACGCTATTTACTAAAATTGTAACTCAGCTTTTCGAGATTTATTTCTTCCCCTTTTTAAACAGTTATGATTCGAAGCCACTTCACGAAAAATCGGTTAAGACAATTCATCAATGGGCAAGTAGATTTCAAAGACGCCATCTTTGTATTATTGGCTGAATTTCACTTATTTTGTCTTAATAATTAAGTATAAAAAAACTCGTTGGAAATTTCTATGATGAAATGCAAGTTTAATAACTGATTAACATTTTGTAACAACTTGAACTGTTGGGTATAAGAAATAACACATTGAGCGTCAACTGAAGATGAGGTAGATATAATAAAATTTCGATGCCATCGTGTTAGTAGAGGGATTTGTAACTTGTGTGCGCGCGTGTAAGCAACTGTGTACTAAAAGTAAGCGCAGTGGATAAAATAGTCTTAGTGGAAATACGAATACATATTTGTCATTTGATAAACGTAACATCGCAAAGATGGCGTCTCAGCTCTTTCCCTGGATTACCAATGCATGATGAACAGCTGTGGATCCCTTACCTCGGAAACATCCAGAAATGCAGGATCAAATGTACACACAAACCTTCAAAAAATGAATATATATACGTGTTAAAAAATAACGTAAGATGTTTCAATGAATGGGTTTCAGAAATACGCTTCGCTTTTTTCTTTCTTTTACCTTCTAAGAGTCATGTCGAAAAGTCTTAAAAACGAGAAGACAAGAAACAATTCCAGTTACAGCTACTTTGAAATCATTACGCGTTTTTAATGGAACCGCGTTGTTATAGACTTAGGAAACTTTGATGTATGTACATAAGTCAAAGTCAGTCTTTATCAACACATTTTTATTTTTCAATGGTAATGCATGCTCCGCTCGTATGTAATTGGTTGTAATGATTATATATATCAGAGTTACATATGAATAAGTTATAGACTACGTTTCCAGAAAAGTAGCCAATCACAGTGTACAAAAATGGACGCCGCCCGTGACGTATGAAAGCTTGCATAAGGGTGGGAATAAAAGGAGGACAATTATAGCTTTGAGAAACAATCAGCAACCCAACCTTGTCCTCTCAGCACGTGACAGTCGTCAGTCTGGTAAAGTTTGTCATCAAATTCTCCAAAAGAAGTTAAATCCAAAAGGTGAGTGTTCGTTTCAGTTATAATTCGAGTAACGACAGATTTCAAGATATGAGTTATGTAGTAAAAATCATACCAGGATGTTCATGAACTTTTGTTCTCTTGCATTGTTCATATAATATGAAATATGCTTTGTTTTAGATTTTTTTTTATTTCTCGGAATTCTTGTAATTCAAGTTCGACAAACGTGGACTGTGATACTGAATCATTCAATTTCTATCAATCTGTATACTTTCTGTCTAGTTACAAATTATTATACGACTTCAGAGAACATTAACAGGTACAAAGCGGGCTAAACACTCTTACATT